GTAATTCAGATATCATTATTATTAGTCATAGATAAATACTCGTTTCGGGAATTGATAGGATCGAAAGGTGACGCAACTAATTATTCATTCGGGACGAGGTGGTGAATCTTGTCAGTCTAATGTTACATGTCATCGCGTACGGTCTACTTAAAATAAGTGCTCGTATCAGTTTCAAGCAAAATAAATAGTATACATAGTTTCTGACAATTAGCTTTATCTGGTAAATCAAGCTACAGATGAATCTAAAAAATTGATGGTATGTATAAATTTACATGATCTACACGTCTAAAATATTTTAAACGAAGCAGAGTTGCCACTTCTACTAGAAAGTAGCAGCAACTATATGACTTTTCAAATTTTAGATTTTCCCTTGAGAGCTGATGATTTCATCAATTCATCACACTTGGGGTCTTGCGGAAATGATTACAGAGATATAGGGTGTTTAAAATCGATATTTTTCTACTTTAGGATTTTTTTTGTCGAAACTCATTATTGGCCAAAACGGCTTCCATGTCGCTATCTCAACTTTTGATTTAATATCTACCGACATGTAATTGGAAAAAATACAGGGTGGATTCATAATTCTGATCACACCCTGTATATGTTCCAATTAAATGTAAGTAAATAGTAAATCAACAGTTAAGATAGGGACATGTAAATTCCCAGTTTATCAAGATCAGAGTTTATACAAGTATACTTCTCATACAGTGTTACCCACTTCTAATGGAAACACCCCTGTATCTTACGTAATCGTTGGGTAAGGATACTGAAATTTGCTGGAGCGAAATATATACCAAAAATGCAATCTATAACCAAGTGGGGTCATCTTCAGTGATATACACTGCTCGCCAACAGCCATGGAACCACTTCAATTTCCGGAAATTGATATTAGGAGTCATAATAGGTTGAAAATCACTTCGGATTCGGAATCATGACGCCCAATTCACTAACTATTCATAGTTTTCCTAAAAAAATTTCAGTTGAGAAAAATTAAATTTTGTCTCACTTCTCATGGAAGCACCCCCGTATCTCACGTAATTATTGAGGTAGGGTTGTAAAATTTGCAGGAGGAAGGGGAAGTCCAAAGATTAAGTCAATACGTTCAATGTACGGGGGTGCTTCCGTAAAAAGTGCGACAAAATTTAATTTTTCAGATCTGAAAATTCCACAGGAAAAATATGAATAGTTATTGAATTGGGCGTCCTGATTCCGATTCTGAAGTGATTCTCGACCTATTTTTACTCCTAATATCATTTTCTGAAAATTGGAGTGGCTCCATGGCTGTTGGCGAGCAGTGTATATCACTGAAGATGACCCCACTTGATCATAGAGTGCCTTATTCTTGGTATATTTCTCGCTCCAGCAAAATTTCAGGATCTCTACCCAACGATTACGTGAGATAGAGGGGTGTTTCCATTAGAAATGGGTCACACTGTATACATTTCAATACTGAACCTATTGGTAAGTTATATTTTTATATCATAAAACATCATATTATTTTATCGGATTTGAGAGATGATGTCAATTCTCAATTTCAGAGGATTTTGATTTTTTATGCTCTCTTTTTGGATGTTCAACAGATATAATTCAATGTTCGACGTGGCAAATAGCCAGGAAAGTAGTTGTTTTCTGTTGAATATTCAAAATGATATTATGTGCATATCTTCATATGAGGGAGAATGCGCCCACATGTTACGACATTCAGCTGGGTATGCCGACTGCCTTGGAGAAGTTCAGCAGCTTCCTCAGCTGAATCTCTTTTATATACGTCCTCTGGCCTCGAAATTATGTTGCCAAGGACAGCCCTCCTCTGATGCGTCAGTGCTGGACACTCAGTGAGGACATGTGATGACGTTTCGTCATCTTCCAGAGGCACCATCTGCAAAGGGGGCTATCTTGATCCCAATAAGCTCTAGGTGCCTATTGAGGTGGTTGTGCCCCGTTAGGAGCCCCACTGTGTGGGCGCACAATGGGCCCGAATAAGGAGGCCCACGTGCAGGGGGTTCACCCGCCCACCAGTGCTTCGAAGAAGAAGAGGGAGAATGCAAATTCTCTACTTCAGAGGAGAGAAAGGGAGTCAGTGTCAGTGATATAGGTTGAAAATCACTTCGGATTCGAAATAAGGACGTCCAATTCACTAAATATATTACACAAAATATAGTTTGAAAACAGTTCGTCGTATTTTTCCTGAAAATTTCCATTTCTGAAAAATTAAATTTTGTCACTCTTTTCATGGAAGCACCCCTAACGTAATCATTGAGGTGGTGCCTCAAATGTATATCAGTAGTATATTCCATGATCATCCCATCCCCCTGTATACTTCAAATATCATCATAATTATTATTATTAGTCATAGATAAATAATTGTTCGGGAATTGATAGGATAGAAAGATGACGAAACTAAAATTAGTCATTCGGGGCGAGATGGTGAATCGTGTCAGTATTGTGTTAGATGTCATCGCGTAGGGTCTACTTGAAGCAGTGGCGGCTCGTGACTTTCATAACAGAGGAGGCTGAATGATGAGATTTATTGTGAAAAACAACTCTCTACTCACCCAAATCAAAAGCTTTAATGACATTCTGTTTACCAGTTAACCTGAATTTAATATTTGAAGAGATGTGTTCCTGTGATTTGCAGTGTCTATCCAATCCGCGAGGCAAATTTTTCAAATCATTTTATCCTAATCGTCCCCAACATGATGATTTATCGGTTGAAAATAATACGCAGTACCAACAAAATAGCTTATTCCTTACCTCAGATCCCGTCAGTCAGATATATTTTTTATAATTATCAGAATTGAATGAACGATTTTGTTTGTTACCTGTTACAATCAGATTTTTTAATGTCGGTGTCGGACGTTTGTTTTTCACTATCAATTTATCTTCATAGGACAAGGCACTGAATGGGTTCACCAAAAAGTATTCCACTAAATCGCAATTGTTTTTAAGACACTCATTTTTCCGAAATTTATAGAGCCCCTAACCAATAACCTAACATAAACATAAACACTGCATTCGCGCTCGACTGTCCGCAATTCGCGTCGCGACACGACAACAAAAACACGTGCTATTCGGGGATTTACATGTGATGATGTGATTTACATTGCGCGATGCGCGCGTTGGTTGCGCAATGTAACGGAGTCTAGCCTCCTATAGATGTTGCCAAGTTGAATATTTTACGCGTGATTTACAGCATCAACGTGTGATGCGTGGGCAAGCACTGTTGCCAATTCAAAAATATTTACCTAAAAACAGGAAATAAAATCAAAATCTATGTATTTTGGTGTCCTTTTAATGAGAAAGTATAGATAATATCAGTTTAAGGAAAATCTCTGAGGAGGCTCAGCCTCCTCTGCCTCCTCTGAGGAGCCGCCACTGACTTGAAGTGCTCGTATCAGTTTCAAGCAAGAATCTAATGCATATCGCGAAATAGTATACAGGGTTTTTCACAATTAGCGTTAATTAGACGTTTCTGGCAAACCAAGCTACAGATGAATCTGAACATTTCTCGGTATGTTTAAATCGACATGATCAACACGACTATAATATTTCTTAAACGATGCGGCGTTGCCACTTCTACTAGAAAGTAGCAACAACTATGACTTTTCAAATGGGACACCCTGTATTTCATTGCATTTTAAGATTCTCCCTGAAGATATACCACACATGCGGGCTAGCGGGAATGATTACAGAAATATAGGGTGTATTTTTAGCCAAATTATCCAATCATGAGGAATTTTCTGACAGGTCGATTTTTATTTTCAATTTGCCACATTTATTAGAGAAAATTAAATATACAAATTCAATTCAAAAATATTTTACAAATAGGGTTTGTATACAATGTGCCTCACTTTTAATGGAAGCACCCCTGTACCTCAAGTTCTTCTTGAGTAAGGATTGAGAAATTTGCAGGAGCGAGACATATAGCATTTCTTCATGAAAAACGACAATTTTTGATCATTCAATTGAACAGCCAAAAAATTAGACGACATCGTGAGTATATGGAATCACGTCTGGTACCCTTACGAGGGGAGTGTATTAACTTTGGCGTTCGTAATGCATCTCTACAAAGGAGGGTGCCGCCTTCAAGAGTTAGGTATAAACAGTGGTTTTATACTACTTCTTTTCCGAATAATTTTTGCACTATAGGAAATCAAAAGTTGTTGTTTCAATAAAGCTGTGCTCTTTGAAAGGTAGACTCGCCATGTTTTCTCTCAGAGAAGTGAATTATAATGAATATTATATTGCGCAGCAGAGAAGCATAATACTGATCCACGTTTTTTTTTTCAGGATATTCAAGCAATAAATTTAAACTATGGCAGATAACTCATAATTTGAGATCCGGTACTCACAAGTACTTTATAATCGTTCAGGACAATTCACTTATAGGAGCTCAAGATCTGTTAGACAGATTAATGGAATATGGAGATGTCGAAGATAAGTTTCCATAAACATTAAAATCAAATACAGATCGTATTTTTATTCTTCTCCGAACATCGCATCATAAAAACTACTTTTATCGATCATTCAACCAAACAGTCGAAAAGTTAGTCGACATTGTGAATTAACTTCCATTTGAAAATAATTCCAATGCTTTGCCGTTCGTTCAACTTGCGAAAAAAATCGAAAAATCCTCGAGAGACGATACAATGATTTTCAGATACCAATAATTCCCAGAAAAGAGCAGAAACTACAGACGAACGAGTGTTGGTAAAGTGTTGTTCGACATATCTCAAGGTCATTTACCTACCATATCAAAGTTGATTTGAAAAAAGGAGACGGGAATGCCAGGTATATCACCCAGTATAGTGAGAGTATGTCAAATGATAACGGGCGATAAAAAATATCGTCTAAAATCTCTGCCATAGGCACGATATGAAAATGTTGGTTTGAAAAATATCTTCGAAGAAATCTACTCTATCGTCCTTGTCTCGTGAAATAGTGGGAACAGGACATGAAAGATTATTATCAATATCATGGATACTATTAAATAAATTATTTATTATCATAATTATTTGAACTAATTATAAAGATATACAAATAATAATTGAAGTATAATACCTATAGACTATAGATCTTTACTCCATAATAATGTGACAGAAAAATATCTTCCAACAAAATCTACTATACATTGTCAATTTTTATTATAGAGAGTTGAAGTTCTGCCATGAACGTTAATGTAAACGTAGAAATTCACAGCTACGCATTTCTCGTTTTTCCACGTTTGTGTTGGTAGTGGGCTTACGGGTGTACGTAATCTTGCGTACTTTCATGTACACCTCAAATATCAACGTACGTTAACCAAAATATGCTATTGAGTCAAGATTATTGAAGCCTGGATCCCCAAAAAGTTCTTCTTCAAGGATTTCACTCATTTGAACACGAATATTAATGTTCAGATCGAAACAAACAACCAGAAAGTGCCAATAAAAACCGAAAACAAACATTCATTTTTACGTTACGATGACTTCAACTTGACTACAACTGAGTTTAAGGATAATCCGTAAACGTTATTTTCCGTACGTTAACGTCTACGTGGAGGTCAACGTACAGTGTGTACTCCAACTCTCTATTATTCATTATCTACAATAGTTCGAACTATTGAAGATATATGAATAATAAAGCATCTTATAGACTATTGTTCATAACTGCTCATATAATAATGTTCTTATTTTTCTTTCTATGGATCTCTTTTCCTATACCAATGTAAATTGGTCTATTGGACGAATAAATATTCTATTCTATCCTATTCTTTCGCCCAATATTATTTTCCTCGTGGTTTCATCATTTTTCAACCGAATTTGAATTTCTTGACGTCATTTTGTAGCTAATGGGCTATAGTATACAGTGCACAATTTGAAAATTCCATAATTAAAACTAAAATAACATCGGAACAGGTTAGAAAAATGCTGATTTTCTTATTCGCTAGCGGTTTTTGTAAATCAACAATGTTTGAGATACGCCACCATTTTGTTTTGTTTTTCAATTTAGGAATTTTCAAATATTGCAAATATAGCCCTTAAGCTCCAAAATGACGTCGAGAAATTCAAATTCTGTTGAAAAATTATGAAACCACGAGGAAAATAAAAATTTCCGGTTTTTTTGTGACCACCCAGACTATTCACCTCAACTGCTAGTAACGATCTTCTTCTTTCTTTATTTCGATGATAAAATTTCTTTCGTCCAAAAGTAGGTCGTTGATGGGTTCAATTTTGATATTGTATTCATCTTCAATGATATCGGTGTCAAGATATTCTGCTGATGTTGGAAAAGAATCAATGTCATGGTTACCAGGCTCGCATTTGGTCGGTCCTTCAGCATGTACTTCGTGAAGTTTCGTATCATCGGAAGTATGACATTCAGATGGTATTTCTTCAGCTTCTACTTTGACGTGTTTGTTTTCATTGCGGATGTGCATTTTATGGTGAGTCTTCAACCTATTCTTCGTCATAAATTTCGAATTGCAAATATCACACTCGAAGGGCCTTTCGTCGGTGTGCATCATACGATGTTCATTCAGATTTCGTCTCTGCCTAAACTTTTTCAGGCAAATTTCACACTCTAAAGATTTCTCACCAGTGTGACCTTTGAGGTGTACATTCAGATTGCCTCTATGCTTGAATTTTTTATGGCAAAAGTCACACTCCAGGAATTTTTCACGGTCAGTGTGCGTGTCTCGGTGATCTTTCAAAGTTTCCAGTTGTTGGAAGTTTTTGTGGCAAATGTCACACTCAAAGGATTTTTTGGCAGCATGGACCTTACGGTGGTGAGCATTCAAACTTCCTTTTTGCGTGAAGGTTGCATTGCAAATGTCACATTTGTAGGGTTTTTCGCCACTGTGCACTCTCCGATGTTCACTCAAAGTTTTGAAGCGCCTAAACTTTTGATAGCAAAAGTCACACTCAAATGGCTTTTCACCAGTGTGCACCATACGGTGGTCAGTTAAATTTCTTTTCAGCCTGAACTTTGTGTGGCAGATGTCACACTCAAAGGGCTTTTCACCAGTGTGCAACCTTCGGTGTGTATTTAATCCACACCTTTGCTTGAACTTTCTGTGGCAAAGGTCACACTCGAAGGGTTTTTCAGGAGTGTGTACCTCGTGATGTTCATCCATGGTTTCACTTGACTTCCTAATGGAAACTGTCACTTTCCAAAGGGTTTTCACAGCACAGTGTTCATTCAAACTTCCTTAAATTTTGGGGTTCTCGTCTAGGTGTTTTTTGCATGATTCGAGGTAACGTGCGGTCCTGCCTGTAAAGATTGAAAATAGATTAGTGTTAGTATCAAATGCTCCATCAATCAGAATATACAGGGTGTCCCAACGAAAACTTTCCACACGGATTTACTGGGAAATGACAAATTATTTTCGGAAACGCTGAAACACGTCGATTTTGATTTCTAGGGGGACACATGTCAGTGATGAATTTAGTCACGCAACTTCATCCCCCTGACAGGGGCGGCTACCCCATTGCGAATCATCATAGGGAACTTGGGTCGAGTGATACTTCATCTTCAAGCTCTCGTCATTCTCTATCCAAACGTTTATATTTTTTCAAAATCGAATGACTGGTAATTGAGATTAGTGTGGTAATAGGTTTAATTTCAATAATCAATATCGTACCTGTTCTTATCGAAATTCAATTTATTAATTGCTCGAAATGAGCCCCTCCTACCTCCATACAATGATGAAGTCTACTTTCGAAACTATTACGAACGTTTGCCAATACTTCTGGAGTTATTCTGCCGCACTCGTTTACAATTCGACCACGTAGTTCCTCTAGTGACTCTGGCGGAGTGGCAAAAACTTTGCTTTTGAGATGCCCCCATAAAAAATAATCCAACGGGTTGAGGTCCGGTGATCTAGCTGGCCACTCAATTGGTCCTCGTCGCCCTATCCAATGATTGGTATATCGTTCATCCAGAAAGTTTCTAACCGCCACTGCATAGTGAGGTGGTGCTCCATCTTATTGAAAATGGAGGTTGTCTTCCGAATAATCTCCATCGTTTTCGATAATATCCGTTATCATGGGATCGATGGCATTCTCAAGAAGATGTAAATACATTTGTCCATTCAAATTATCATCTATAAAAAGTGGTCCAATAATATTTTTGCCAAAAATACCACACCAAACATTCAACTTCTGCGGAGTTTGTGTGTGGACCTCACGTATTAACCTGGGATTGGTATCGCTCCAGTAGCGGCAATTGTGACGATTCACGTTTCCATTAACAAAAAATGTACTCTCGTCTGAAAAACAAATATTAAAGAGCAAATTGGGATTTGTTCTCAGACGCTCAGACATTTCCTCACAAAACTGTTGACGTCTGTCAAAATCGTCTTCGTTCAGTTCATGTACAAGTTTTAGTTTGTATGGATGGAATCGATGTGACTTGAGAATTCTCTGAATACTCGATCGCGCTACACCTGACGCGTCAGCCAAGCTTCTAATACTTTGAGTAGGATCCATAGCCACGTGCCCCAAAACCGCTATCTCAACAGCCTCGTTCCTTATCAGACGTTCAGGATGATGTTTCTGGTTTCCCACAGACCCAGTTCTTTCGAATTTCTCAATCAACGTTTGAACATAGGTATGAGATGCATTTTTCCCTGGATGCCTTGTATTGAAAATTCTAGCTGCAGCTCTTAGACAATCATCATTTTTGTAGTAAAGTTTCACTAACTCAATTCGTTCTTCTAATGCGTAAACCATTGTCAGGCAGAAACTTAACTCACAGAATACGAATCAAATGATATTTCCAGAAGAATCATGCGAACTGTGAATTCATGCTGAGAACATACACGCAGGAGAACCATAAAAAACAGGTATTTTTTGTCTATGAAAAAGTCAACAGAACAAAAACTAAGAAATATGGTTTCCGGGCTTCAGTGCCGTGGTCGGTTCACCTCTGTGGAGGAGGTTCCTTTGGACGTTTCGCTCACAATTGGGGTGGGCATCTTCCGCTTGTGATGTTGTATTCGCGAATAGCGACATAAAACTGATACTTGGTTGAAAGATCTTCGCAATTAATAGTCCCAACCTGGCTACTTACTTTGTTTTGACTAATTTGTTTTCGTTTTTCGTGGGGTGACTGGATTACCTGACCGGATGGGATGTTGCTATTGTCTATCTGTCCACTCATTGAGTCTTAAAATAGTTAATAAATTTAATTTGAATAGGAACAGGTAAGATATTGACTATTTACATTGAACCTGTCAACAACACTAATTTCAATCACCATTCATTCTATTTTGGAAAAATTATGGACGTTTGGATAGAGAATGACGAGAGCTTGAAGATGATGTATCACTCGACCCAAGTTCCCTATGATGATTCGCAATGGGGTAGCCGCCCCTGTCAGGGGGATGAAGTTGCGTGACTAAATTCATCACTGACATGTGTCCCCCTAGAAATCAAAATCGACGTGTTTCAGCGTTTCCGAAAATAATTTGTCATTTCCCAGTAAATCCGGGTGGAAAGTTTTCGTTGGGACACCCTGTATACTTGGTAGAATACGAATGAACGAAAATAATGAACATAGAAAATATATACAGGGTGTTTCATGAGAAGACTCACATAGCCAAAGTTGACAGTTATCAGCCAGGTCGAAATTTAAAATTCATTCGAACGATTTTGTTCCATATTTTTTTATGGAACCGGTCAAAGTGTGCCGTGTAAATTAAAGAGCAGTTCTTATAGCATTTTGTCTGATCTTTCTGAATCTGATGGAATTTTTCGAGAAAAGTGGTCACAAAGTGAGCTTTTTGGACATAACAATGAAACATGAAATTTTCCCAACTCCGGAACTGGATATTTTTTTCATAATATGTTATCTTGAATAGTTTCAGCAGACATACGTCGCTGCCAAATTTCAGCAGATTACGATGAATCATTTTTGTAATATCGGCCATCAAAGTTATATAACAATTTCACATAATACCCTGTATCTTCGTTATGGAGGGTCAAAAAATGTTTTCATATATATACATCAACTCGTCTTGATTTCCCCTATTAACCATTTGGCTATGTGAGTCTTCTCATGAAACACCCTGTATAAAGAAAAACACATTTTGTTAAAACACACAATTATGACAGGAATTCGTCAATAGTGTAGATATTCTTATTTGTCAGGAAGATTTTCAATCTCTTCTTGAATTTGAATTTTGCCATCGAAAGCTGAGACAATTTGTTCTTGAAATTCATTGATTGCAGTTTATGTGTTCTTACCAACAGTGAAACCATGCTGCTGAGCGGAGAGAATTTATTTTTTATCAAAAAATGATAGTAATTGATTTTTCATGTTCATTTCAAAAATGTTAACTATGCTGGATAGAAGACTATAATTGCTGTGTAGTTCTCGATTTGGTGTCGGTCATTTTTTTATAAATTGGGTTGATTAGCGCTAGCTTCAATCTGTCAGGGTAAATCCCAGTTAAAGTTTATGCAAAGTCAGCTGAACAGATCATCAAACGAATGTCGGGCCGCGCTGCCGCATTCTTTGAACTTTCAAAGGGACCGACGGCTTGCAGTGATGTGTTTTTCCAGCTGACTTTGCATAAACTATACCAGCGATAAATTGATGAGATATGTTAGGGGATAGCTTATATGAACATTGACTCTACTTTCAGTCCAGATGGTAGGAAGATTTTCAATGCATCTCAGTGCTGCCATGTTCTAATTACTTGTGTAAGTTTAGAAAGGCATTTGATCGTTGTTGCAGGACCAATATAAACTGAGATAGCTATTGAGTAAGATGTAATACCAATCACCCTCTGTACTTGTGACGTCAGTACCGCCTTATTCCGTCTCGTTCTAACGGGAGCATTTCTTTCGGAATTTATTATGGGAAATCTAAAAGGAATAAAAATTCAAAAAAATCTCTGGGCCTCTTCTCATCGTGATTTTTTCTTGAAAAGGCAAGAACACTTTGTCTATTGGCAGTTTCTCAAACGATTTTATTTCCTAATCCATGGTGGTCGTGACGAAAAAAATATTCTAAGACACTCATTATCTATACTAATATTATAAAGAGGAAATATTTGATTGTTTGTTTGTATGTATTGAATAGGCTCCGAAACTACTGAATCGATTTGGCTGAAAATTGGTGGGGAGGTAGCTTAGAACCAGGAGGTTATAGGATACTTTTTATCCCGGTACCATTAGGAAATTCAAGATGGCGTCAATACATTTTTGAGATCGTGCTTCTAGATGATTCACTGACTTGCGAATTATTTGAGGGTTATTTCTAACACTAGCACAGGCAGCAGTAATTTTCCATAATACAATTTCTCTCATTCAAATTTCTTCATTATGAACTTCTTACTTCAAACGACCTCATAAAAATTAATCTAGCTGAGTTAGATCAGGGGATAGCGGTGGCTAATTTACTGAACCACCACGGCCAATCCATCTATTGGGGTAATGGGCATCGAGATGGTTTCTAACTGGAACTGAAAAGTGAGGTCTAGCACCATCATGCTGAAACCACATACCCCAGGTATTTACACCTTGCAATAGACATTTAGATAAACATCACCAGTTAAAGCCCATACAAAAATAGAATATCTGCGTATTCCTCATTAGTGAGATGAAACGGCATCATAAAAACACTCTCAGAACTATAGTTTGATCCTAAAAACACTGGAATAATGAATGAACACCAATAAAACAACCGCTGATGATAGGTAAACAATGGTTTTCCATAATGAAATTCTGAATTTAACAACAAGCCTAGTATTCTTTATACACAAACATTATAAGGTACTGATACGGATTTATTATTTGAATGTTCAGTCCGATCATTTTTCAACAAGTTTTTAACTTTTCTCAGTGCATTTCGAATCTGCGATCAGATCATTGTTATACTAGATCATCTATTCTTACAGGAATATAATCATAGACAACCTCATTCCAATCCTGATACGAATTTATTTTTCAATTTTTTCGGGTCATGAGAGTAATTCATTCCACTACGATTCACGAACTGATTGAAGAAAATAACTATATTCATGCCATGGTTTCGTTAATATTTATTTCATTACCAATTTTGATGATACTTTATCCGACAATAATTGATTTTTGAACGAAAAAAATTAAAATGATAAGCAATTACGAAATAACTAAGATAGTGCCAGGAGATTTTTCAACAAATTCCTATACAATTTTTACCGTAGATTTCGAATCTGAGGTGAAATTTTTGGTTACTATTATACAGGGTGAGTTATTCTAACAATAACTCAACTCAACATAAGG